CTCTGATCATTTATGTATAAAGGCCGCCGTTACTTTGTTTCGCGGAAAAACAGGTATTCCGTCAACGATACTCTCGGCCCGCTCCTTTTTCGTACGCGCGCGTACGTACATCTAAAGATAAAAGCAAAAGATCTGGCCTCCTCTCTCTTTCACTCTTCCCTCTGTCTCGTTACTTGCTCTCTCTCTCTCTCTCTCTCTTCTTTAAATTACGATAAATTTTATCCATTATCCGTGAAAGAAACTTTTTCTTTCCTCGTGAAGATTGTTCCTTTTCTTTTTCTTTTTTTTTTCTTCAGAAAAGGAAAGATAATGGGGAAAACTTATTAATTTTCTTTTAAAATTCTTTCGCGTAAACGAAACGTGGGTAAATAAAAGATGCGTAAGAAAGAAGGGGCTGTTTGCGGTATTCGTTGCCGTTTCTTAAAATGGAGCATAGGATCATTCTGCGTCTCGTCTACTTTTGTTTCTCGCGCCTAGGAACTACCTAGGTGTAGTGGCTTGGTTCCAACTTGTTCCAAAACATGGGCCACCACGCCTCGTGCTACCTCGTGCGGCTCTGCGTTGCTCAACAGTGTTCCTAAACTTCTAATAGATAACCCAGTGAACCGTTTGCCCGATTTACGCTCCTTCTTTTTAAACCAGCGTTTAACATTCGGGTCGCTCGCAAACGTCGCAGGTGGCGCGATAAACCTTACGGTAAATTTCTGTGTGTGCACGCTGTTTTCGATATCCAAGTGTGTAGCCGTCCAAGTTTAATTCTCCAAGCAACCAGCAACAATTCTCTCATCGTCCCTTTTTGACATTCTTTCGTTTTCAATATTTCCATCGTGCACGAATAAATTAGAATGTTTTTTTTTTTCCACGATACTTGACAACATTTCACATACTTGATCCATATATATAACGGGAATCAAAATATATCGGATTAAAAAAAGAAAATCTATTTTTTCGAAATTTTTTGAAAATTAAAAACGAAGTTAGAAAGTCATTTTAAAAATGTTATTCTTTTCCACGATACTTGACAACATTTCACATACTTGATCCATATAACAGGAATCTAATTTTGTAATTTGCGAAAATTTTCGTTTTCTAAAAATTAAAAACGAAGTTAGAAAATTATTTCAATGTTTTTCTTCTTCCATGATACTTGACAATATTCGCGTTTTATTTAACAAAATTTAAACAATGGAAATGGAGGAGAAGAAAGGATCGTCTCTCGTCGGTTTCTCGAAGAGCCTCGAAGAGCAGAGCGTACGGAGGCGATAAGTGTGCGGGAGCGTAGGTATATACGTTGGACGTCGGATGACGCTCGTTTGCCCGGACAATTTGCTATAATGGCCGGAACAGCTGATCGTGTGCTCCGACTACGAGAAACGATTTCTCCTTCGCCAGTGTGAAACCGTGTGTGCGTGTCTCAATTTATTGCCTCGCTTGTTCGAATTCGTGGTTGAATCGCGTTATCCCCGCTTTCGTCGTTAATCGACCCATCGATCGTATCGTGAGTTAATTCCGCGCCATTCTCTTCTTACTTCCGTCATCTTGGTGTTTTAAATTTGATACAATACCTTCTTCTTCTCTCTTTCTCTCTCTTTCTCTCTCTACTTTTTTTCTTTTTATATCTCGCCACGCGCACAGAAGACTTTTTAATTGCTCGAAATTCCACGGTATCTGGTTCAAAAAGATATATTACATTGTTCCCCTTTGCAATTTTTACGATGGAAAAAGTAAAGCAAAAATTGAGGCGAATCCTGGATCAACGCCACGAAAGCCTGGATCCACTGTTAATCCACGATTCTCCATTACGCAACATTGAAACATTAATATTTCCATTTAATTCCAATGCGAGAGTAGAGTTTCGTTACGAAGTTGTATCATAAGTTGTTTAATCCCGATGATTAAAAAAAAAGAATGCGTGGGAAAGAAAACGTCCGAGTAATTTCCGATTCTTTTGAATCGTACTCTGCAATTGGCGAAAATTATTTTCGAACGCAATTTTTTTTAATTATATTTCCTCGAAACGATAAATTTGTGGTACATCGTACTTGTTCGTTCTCGTCCATTAATCTGAAACACGGTTCGAATAAACCGCGAAAAATTTCTCCCGTAACTGGATACTCTTGCAAATTACCTCCCATCAACGCATTTGATTCCAACAGTTGGAAAAATTTTCACGTGCTTCACATCGCGTGATCCATATAATGGGAATCAAAATATATTTAGATTAAAAAAAGAAAATTTACGTAATTTGCGAAAATTTTCGTTTTCTGAAAATTAAAATCAAAGTTAGAAAATTATTTTAAGAAGCGAGAATTGTATATTTATTAGGATCATCATTCTTATTATTATTAATTGTTATCATAATTATCGATTTATTTTCTACGCGAGATAAGATTAAATTAGATTAGATTATTTTTTCAAGTTGGATGACGCGTGTTTTGTAATAAAAGTTCATCGATCTTTTATTGATCGCACTTTTCCCGGAAGTCGTTGTCGTCCCGGAGTGAAAATAAATAACCGCGACACGACTATTTTCATCGTCGTGCAAGATTAAAAAAAAAAAAAGTGCGTCGTTATAAGGAACAAAGTCGATATCACGGTAGACTAAACACCGATATTTAATCTTCTGTACTTACGTATTTTCCTTTAACCTTTAACGTGGTAATTTATTATGAAAAAAAAAAGAAAATAAATAAATAAGCGAAAAAGAAGTTGCAAAGAAATTATACACGCTGATAAAACTATCTGTAACAGCTTATTTCTGCATAATTAATCACCAGTTTTAAAAGACAATATATTATTTTCATAATTTCAAATAAAAATTTCATCGATATTAAAAATAACAATTCTTAGCATTCCTCGAAGCAATATTCAAATATCCTTCTTCCCGAAATTCGTTCAATTACGAGGAATTTCGATTACGATTTCAAACGCGCATAAATCCTCGCTCTACGTTCGTTCACCTTCGCTATTAATTACATAAATACCTCCCCTCCGGAAGTGAGGTTCGTGCACGAATAAACATCCTTGCCAACTATTTTCATCGTGGCAAAAAATTACAAACATTAACCAGAGAAAGAAAGAAAGAAAGAAAGAAAGATAATATCAAAAAGAGTATAATATATATTATAAAAGTTCTCGGATAAATTTTCATAATTATCGAGGAGCATCGAAAACGTTAGCATCGAGTCGTGTGGATAGGAGAAGCGGTCGATAACTCCTCCCACTTGTGGGAGGAGAAGAAGGTTTGCTTTGATCTCTGCGAAGGATGTGTCCATAGGGGAAAGTTGGCGTGCTTCCGTTTCCCCGTTGATGGTATGGCGAGGACTGCAAAGGCATCGGCGAAGTTATCGGGTCGTAAGTTCAAAGAACCGCGTGGAAGAGCGGCATCGGGTGTATCGACTACGATACGGTACGAGTACGATATTACGATCGGCCGCGAGGACGTGACCGTGCATAACGAATCATTGTATACGCCACCGTGGAGGAATTAGCGCTCGCTCTGCCTCGATAAAATTACACGTTTCGACCTTGCAATTACCGAATGATACCGAGAGAGAACACTCGAAGATGTCCCTTTCGTTTTTTTCCCTCGTTAACAAATATCGCGCGCTTAGAATGCGCCATACGACGTGACGATAAATATGCCGAGATGATTACGATGGAAGGTTACGTAAGTAAGATTATTCGCTACAAGAGATACTTTTTAATTAAGCACTGGACAATGGATCCACCGATTCACTTCAAGTTTTCCAATCTCTAAGAGAATCTCTATCGCGATATTCGAGTCGTTGCAATGAAATGAAGTTTCTAAACTACTCGATTCTCGATCGTTTAACCTCGTTCCCACAGACTCGCAATTATACACGATGCATACCTGCAATCGCTTCGTTTTCAGTTGGCGTAACTTCGTTGGAGGGACGGTGGCGCTAGTGGTCCTCCTCGGTGGTTACGTACAGAGAGACTGCACGCCACGCTCGGCTAATCCGCGTGAATTATGGGGCTCGTATCGCGGAAGTCGTTTTTAAATTGATTCGTAAATCAATAGCGGAGAAGCGTGACTCTGAATCTCTCCTCTTTCTTCTTCCTCGTATCACCCCTTTCTCTCGCTTTATACTCTATGCTACAGTGCATCGCCACGGATTTCTTCTCGGGTTGTATTTAGATCGAAGTTATCGGGAAGAGGACCGTATTATGGTCGAATCGAGCCGCGAAAGGCACGCAGAAGGCACGTCGGCCGGCACCTCGTGACATTTCGAGAGGATGGTCCGGGTACGACCATCTCGCCTAGATCTAGCCTAGATTCGAGAATTATTATAGACAGGAAAGAAATAGTGGATATTATCGTTCCTTCTTTTTCGATCATTCGATCATGTTTGTTGTTGAAAGTTGATTGAAATTCGCAAGTTTGAGAATTTTAAAATTTAAACATAACCGCGATTCTCTTTGTTCAACTTTGTATAATTTGCGTTATCCGAAAAAAAAACGGTTATTTTTAATGGTTCGTTTCTAGGCACTCATCGATAGACTTAGTCCCACGTGAGATAATAGAAAATCGATAGAAGGAGGCAGGCGTTTGCGGACGAACGGAAGCGTCACGTGTTCCGTCCGAGGAGAAACATTATGGAATTACGTTTGATTTTTGACGTATCGATTAAGAAATAATCCAATTGATATGTTACGCGTGTTTCGACTTATATTCACCGTTATACGCTCTGTTTAGTGAAATTAACAAAATTTACTTCTTATATTATAAATAATATAAATTTTCTTATATTATAAATTTAGTTCAAACGTTACTTCTTTCTACTCTATTAGTTCGCCATTTAGAATTTCAAGTCGGATTAACGTTTTTTAATATTAATTAATCTTTCTTATTGCAGTTTCGAATATTAAATTTTATTTAAAAAAATTGGAGAATATGTTATTAATAGATTTCTGGAATAGTGGAATTTTATAATCTATCTCTTGATGAATGGGAAAATAATGTTGTTTCGTTGCAGGTAATGACAAACTGACCCGAAAGCAGGAAGGACAGGAAGAAAGAAAATGGAGCATCGGAAGCAAACGATGAGCTCGACGGAAATAGCGAAAGCTAACGAGGAGTTCGATCTGTTTTGCAACGCGACCACTTTGAAATCAATTCTGGGACACTACAGGCATCTCTGCGATTTGCTCAGGATCAGGCCGAACGTGATCAATCAATTTTATCCAAAATTGAAAGCGAAATTGCGATCGTGGAAGGCTCAAGCCCTCTGGAAAAAATTCGATCAGAGGGCCAATTACAAATGTTACAATCGTGGCAAAGCATGCCCGAACACGAGGGTAAGCCCACCAATTTTTCTTCTCTTATATTTTTCAATACCACCATTTCAACAATATTCTTGCAATTCTATTTTGCAATGGATAGTCAAAATTTCCACTTCTTCTTCTTTTAAGATCATCTCTCGAAGGTGTTTTAAACAAAATGTGAAATTTATTAATACGCTCTGCGTATTGATTTCAGGTGTTGATCATCGGAGGCGGGCCATGCGGCCTTCGTTCGGCGATAGAGGCGCAATTATTAGGAGCGAAGGTTGTCGTTGTAGAGAAACGGGATCGAATGTCCAGGAACAACGTGCTTCACCTGTGGCCCTTCGTTATCCACGACCTCCGCGCCCTGGGGGCGAAAAAGTTCTTCGGCAAATTTTGCGCCGGCTCCATCGATCACATTAGCATTCGACAACTTCAATGTATATTGCTCAAAGTCGCTTTGATCCTCGGCGTCGAGTTCCACGAGAGCGTCAGTTTCGACGCTTTGATATCTCCGCCTGAGAATCAAGAAGAGGGCAGTAAGTGTGACCCTTCTCTGTTCAGACGGTAGAAAAAACTGTGAAACGTTTCATTATATGAAAACAGCATTTTCCGTGTGAATATTCTCGATTTTTCTTTCTTAAAATCTCGTTGGAAATGGGAGATTTTTCGAATCTCTAAATTGGGCGTCCTAGCTTTACTCCTATACGACAAAAGTACGAAAGCAAAACGAATTCCGCGAACGATTTCCTCGAGAATAGAAAAAATAGAAAATAACGAAATTCATACATATTGTAATTGTTCTTCCAGAGATCGGTTGGAGAGCGAAAACCACTCCTGCCGATCATCCAGTCTCTCAGTACGAGTTCGACGTGTTGATAGGCGCCGACGGGAAGAGAAACACGTTGGAAGGTTTTAAGCGGAAAGAGTTCAGGGGTAAATTGGCTATTGCGATAACGGCGAACTTCATAAATAAACGGACCGAGGCGGAAGCCCGTGTCGAAGAAATTAGCGGGGTTGCCTTCATCTTTAATCAAAAGTTTTTCAAAGAATTGTACCAGGAGACGGGTATTGACCTAGAAAATATCGTGTATTACAAAGACGACACTCACTACTTCGTGATGACAGCTAAGAAGCACAGTCTTATAGACAAGGGAGTGATTTTGCAGGTATAAATCTATATATATATATATTTCGAAAGAGATTTGTCACAAATTTAATTCTAATTTTCTAATTTCAGGATCACGCGGATACGGCGAAATTACTAGCGAAAGAAAACGTGGATCGCGAAGCGTTGATGCTTTACGCCCGAGAGGCTGCCGAATTCTCCACGGAATACCAAATGATTGGTATGGAATTCGCAGTGAACCATTATGGTCAACCAGACGTTGCCATGTTCGATTTCACGTCCATGTATGCGGCGGAGAATGCCAGTCGAATTTTGGAACGTCGTGGCCATAAATTACTTATGATCCTTGTCGGCGATAGCCTGCTCGAGGTACATCGAATATTAAAATTTATTGAAATTTCCTTCACCTCGCATTGTTTCTCACGCTTTTACTCGTTTTCTTCTTTTTCTCTTCTTCTTCTAACGTTCACGTAGTCGAGGAAATTGAATGTAAAATTATTGCAGCCATTCTGGCCAACGGGATCTGGTTGCGCAAGAGGATTTTTAAGCTCCTTGGACGCTTGCTGGGCGATCAAAGGATGGGGCGCGAACGTGTCGCCGTTGGAAGTAATCGCCGAAAGGGAGTCAATTTACAGGTTACTTGGACAGACTACACCTGAAAATTTAAACAGAGATTACGCTGCGTACACGCTAGATCCTCATACCAGGTATATATATATATATATATAATACATATATGTATATAATATTATATATATATATATGTACACATTATTCTTAATATGTTATTGTCCATTCTCTTCCCAAGATATCCCAATTTGAACGTGTCGTCGGTGACACCGATACAAGTGCGAAGTCTACTCGACACGGATGATCCCGACAGCGTGAAACAGCCTCCTGTCCAGTCTGACATCGATATCCCTAAAAAACGACGTCGTCGGGGTAAGTTTGTTCGGTGATTACGGTGAAGATGGTTTAAATTTATAAGTGGTTGTGATATATTGTAGATTTGCGTGGAGATTCGCAAGTGCATCCGGACACGCTGCTTCGCTGGCTGCAAAAACAAGTTGCCCTGTACGACTCGGTTCAGATAAGAGACATGGGCGCCTCGTTCAAGAATGGTCTGGCTATTTGTGCGATAATTCACAGATATCGTCCAAACCTAATAGATTTCCACAATTTGAACCCGGACGATGCGGTTACGAACAATCAATTGGCCTTTGATATATTGGAAAAAGAATTGGGCATACCTCCTGTAAGTTTGTGAATGAATATTATTTATATTTATAGGTTCAAAAATAACTTGGCTTCACGGGGGAATTTCAGATAATGACAGGGGAGGAAATGGCCCAGTGCGACGTTCCCGATAAACTTGCCATGTTTTCTTACCTCACACAGATATACGAAGTTTTCCGCGGTGAAATCCCGTACATTAAACATCCAAAATTAGTAAGTAGATTCGCACGATGTGGAATCATGTCAGAAGATTTTTAATCGGTTTCCGTATTTTATAGTATTCAGTATCATATCCGAAATCACGGAACGAACATTTACAATCGTCAGAACATTTTTTAACAAGAAAGTTCCATCCTCGCCCACGAAAGCCTGATCCTTCCCATTGGAATCGTAGACCGTCGTACATCGTTTACGATCGAAGAAAAGAATCATTGTCATATCCCATCCCTACAACAATTCCACAACAGACCATCATCGAATCGTTAGATCACAATAATAACAAAATATCGTTAAGTGCAAACGTTGCAGAAATGGATGAGAAATTTGCTATAAACTGGATAAGAAATAAACTTCAAAACAATATAGTTGCATCATCATTGAAGAAAATGTTCAAACCACCAAATCATTTTGATAAAGATGACGAGTGTTATTATCGTTTGGACAATAACAAAGTTAACGAGAAGTTACTAACCATAAAATGTTTTTCATTAATTAACTTTACTTTTCCTCACGGTAGCAATTTTGTTAACAACTTTCTTCTCTTTTCTTCTCTTTTCTTTTCTTTTTTTTTTTTTTTTTTTTCTACAATTGTATAACGATTGTATTTGATCGTCTTTTATAAAGGAACCTGAAAACGAAGAAAGGCCCGCACATAGTAAACAATTGACACCTGATCAAAAAGTTCAGTTAATTGACCGTATCGTCAGGCAAGATAGCGCAACGAGAACGAGACACTCACGATCGCGTCATAACGAAAATTTAAACCCCGCGGATAAGAAGGGGGACACGATTAGCCGGCGTTCTCGAAAGAGACGAAGCACAGAGAAGATGGGCGCGACAGTGGTAAGTTTTTTCCTCTTATTTTTTCTACCGCAAAATATCATCGATGACATAATATATTAATATCTCCAAAGAAAAAAAAAAAAAAAAAAAAAAAAAAAAAAAAAAGTAGAACATTTTTCTTTACAAATTTTTAACCATATGTTTTTGAAAGCTTCTAGTTAGAGCAGATCATCCAAGGTTCAAACATTCTTTTTTCACACGATATTGAAATCAATCCTTCGCACTTTGTGATAAATCACGTATTTCGAAATTTATATAGAAATTATTTATATAGAATTATTTATACGGAAGGAAAATATTAAAAGAATCGATGCAAAGGATTGAATCGTATATTTAACTCTTTATGGAATGATTCTTTTTCTTTTGTTTCTCGAGTATAAATGTGATTATATTCCATAAAGGGTTGATAATTCGAACACTAACAAATCACATACGATACTTACACTGCTTATATCCTATAGTCACGGTGGCAGAAGATTGAAGCACTTATGTATCGTGGGATAATCGTATCGTTGTTTATCTTAATTATTGGAGTTACTATTACCATGGTGCAGAAGGAAGTCTTTACATTCTAATCGCTTCGTATAATCGACCAAAGTATCAATGGAACATTGCAAAACTCTCGGTTATGTTTTAAACTTTTTCTATCATATTTATGTTTATGTTATATATATTACATATATAATATATATATATATTTGCTACGCCAGCTTTTGTATTTGTCCTATATTTTACTAAAAATTTGTTTCAAACGAATAGATTGCATAGAACTCTCTCTCTCTCCTAATTAGATATCCCTAGTTAGTTAATAAAAGTAAAAAAAATAATCTAGATATCTCTAAAAAGAAGTAGAAGAACCGTTGAACCGTTCCTACTTCTCTTTTTTCTTTTTCTTTTTCTGGAAACAGAGGAATGTTAGCGTAGCCAAACTCGAATTAAAATACCACCCCACTTTCATCTTTTTTTACCCTCTTTTGTATTTTATTATTCACATCCATTGTGATCGTTACAAATATAATTGATGAAAACCACGTAACATAAGTTGTAACATATAAATTGTGTAAAATGAATGACAAATGAGAATTAAGTTGATTAAAAAAGAAAACAAGAAAATAATTGTAACTATGTGAATAATATTGAATTAATATATCACTATACGATTTTACGGTGGACGTAAAGGAGGAAAGGCAGAAGAGACTCGCAGAAATAGAGAAAAATCGCGCAGAACGTATGAGAAGGCGGCAATATTTACGAAATATGGCGACGCAGCAATTCTACAAAAGTATGCAGATGCTGCAAGCGAACGCAAAACGCGAGAAAGACGAGCCGTTCGAAGATTATTCAATATTCTTATATCGTCAAACTGCACCGGATTTCAAGGATAGGGTGAAATACCTAGAGCAGAAAATATTATATCCAGTAAGCTGGAAAGTGAATGATTTTGAGAGTGCATAATGTTTCTTCTTTTTCTTTATTTTTTTTTCTCTCTCTCTCTTTCTTTTTCTCTCATTATTTGAGTAAATTTAACAAACACTTAAACTAAAAAAAAAAAAAATCTTACAAATATTTTTTATTTCTTCAATAATAAAATTTATAAATTAATAATATTAAACGTATGCACAAACAATGTAAAAAAACAATTGTACTATTACATTACTAATTCACTATTGTGTGCAATAAATTATTTGAAAATTTTTTTGTTGCAATAATGAAATATTACAATTATAAATATTACATATACATATATATATATATATAAACTAACTGTACAAGAATAATCGTAAAAATTTTAAATGATACGCATGATATTTATGCATTAATAATATTGAAAGGTGCAAAGGCTACAAATTACATTACTAACTATCGTTAAAAAAAAAAAAAAAAAAAGGATTTTTGTAATATCGATTGCAAGTGCTTACATATCTTTAAACAACTGTAACACTAACACTATACACTGCATAGAAAATAATTAATCGTTTGATATCTTCATTATTCGATGTAAAAAATTGTGTCGAGACAAAATTGTTTGATTGTTCAGAACGAAAGAATATTATAATTTATTTCTTTTTCTTTTAATTTTTTTTTTTTTTTCAAAATCATGAAAAACATTATTTTTCTATAATAATAAATATATATATAATAAGTGTCAAGAAAAGAAATTATTTTTGAGAGATTAATTATAAATCAATTCGTTCTGAAAAAAACTTTGTCCCGATATAAGTAACTTTTTATCGACAGAAATAATGAAGATATAAAGGAATTTAAACGGAACCTCTTGTTGAATTAAATTTTTTTTTTTATTTTTTAGTTCGTTTTTTTATAAAACTGTGATTACTTTCGTGTACTGTGATTACAAATTATAGTGCATTTTCGCTTCTTTTATCGAATTTTTATAAATTGTGATCGTCTATTCTCTCAATCGCACGTTCAAATTTATTCCATGCCGTTCACTTTTCTTTTAGGATAGAGAACCTAAGATTCACGCTGGTCATCATAGAAATAGCATAGACGAAGAGTTCTCCGGTAGAATAAAAAGTATCGAAGACAAGTTGAAAGGATCTACACCGGTTGAGAAAAAACCCAGAGATCTTCTGCGTGCAATTGGTTTGTATTCTATTTCTTTTTTTTTTTTTTATTATTCTTCCGTAGTTATGTTATCCAATTCTATCTAATAGAATTATCATTTATAATATTTTCTAATATCTGATAGAATTATTTTAATTATAAATAAATTAATAAATTAATAAAAATATGGTGTGTTTATACGTTAATAAAGGTAAAATTGAGAAGACCGATTGGAATGTGAAGGAAATCGAGAAGAAAATCGAGGAGAATAAAATGGGTCGTTTGGTTCGACACGACAAAGTAGAACGAGTGCCGAAATGGAGTCGAGAACAGGTTGGCATGCGAATGATTAAGCAGTACCCGATAATCAATCTTTTTCAGATGTGTATATGCTTCATTCAGTTTTTAGCTCGACAAATCAAGATGGAGAAGAAGGGACGTGATCAAAGGGAGACAGATAGTAAGTACGCTGATATTGACAATACCCTGAAGAATATTGACAGGAAGATCAAAGAGGGTAATGTGCTTGGGTACAATAAAGTGTCGGCAATGGCCGAACAATTTTCAAATAAAAGTCAGGACGCGGAGCCCAAGATGCAGAAATCGGTAAATACGATATTCTAAAATCTCAATACTGGAGGATATAGTCAGCAGGATATTCGCAATCTTTGTGACGTTTCTCGTGTCTTGTATTTTTCGTACTTCTTTCAAGAGAGGCGAGTCATCTTATGTACCCATTGTATTTGTAAATTATATATATATATATATATATATTTTTTTTTTTTTTTAGCTTTTTACAGGGTATAAATATATTTTGTTACGATATGTATATAATAATAACAAGTAACGTGCATTTACATTTATCCTTACTAAACAATATCATGTCAAATTGATTAAAATGTTTATTATCCTAAAAGAATTTAACGTCGATAAATGTATTTTTTAACTGTTATTAACTGCGTTATTAATAACATATATTACAAATATGATATAATTCATTTTTAATAAATGATACAAGTGCTGACTAAAGATTCTTTTGTACTAAAAGTTTTAATTTAATTATTATTACTTTGTTTCTCTGTACTTTTTTTTTTATAGAATGTCAAGCCCACGATAACGTTACCTGCTCAAGGAGGTTCAGAAATGTGTCATTTTTGTAATAAAAGAGTTTATCTAATGGAGAGACTTAGTGCCGAAGGGAAATTTTTCCATCGAGGATGTTTTCGTTGCGAATATTGTTCTACCTCGTTAAGAATAGGTTTCCTATTTATCTTTTAAAATTGTACATTATAAAAATATACGACTTTTATTAATTATTATCTGTTTGATTATAGGAAACCATACATTTGATCGGGATAAAAATGGAGGACGATTTTATTGTACGCAACATTTTGGTTTCTCAGGAACGTTGAAAACTCGCGTGGAAAAGAAGAAAATTACGACGTTGAATAAAGAAAATATACCTGCAACGTCTGTAAATCTAAAAACACCCGAAAAAGTAAAGATTTGAATTTGATTGTACGATTAAAGATAAAAATAATATTTAATACATAATGATTTTCAGGGAAAGATATCTTTAGAGGGTGTTGTTGGTCTTGATTTACTTGATCGTGGACAAACACCTGAGAGAATAGAATTCGAAAATTTAGCAGGAATATCGGATGCCGAAGAACCTCAAAGCCAAATGGATGAAGATGAATGGACGGATAGGAATTTCGGGGCTTCTACCGCAGAAATGGGATCCAGTGATGATATTTCGGATATGAGGTAAATTGTATTTATGTATCACTTGTTAATAATGATTAAAATAAGAAATATCAAAAGGTAAGTTTTTAAATAATTTCAACAGCGATTCAGATGATGATAACGAAGTATACGAAGAGGCAATAGATCAACCCTTAACAACCGAAGGAACTCTTGAACTTGCGAAAAATTGGACGCTACGATATTCTCATCCTCATGCTGCAATGGGACAATCTGATACAGGAAGCAACGAGTATGAAGATTCTAGCGATGAATATACGAATGAAGGTACGACTATTGTTACTATATTCTTTTTTATCGAAAAATATTACTGTGAAAAATAAATAATTAATTTCTATTTAGACGATGAAAGTACAACTGCTACGGAAGATGAAGACGACATACGTGCCCGAGAACTTAGAAAGCAAGAAGTTTGGTTGAAGAATCCCACACGTAGCTCCGATACGGACAGCGGTTCAGAAACGGAGGTGAAAATTTCTCAAGATTCTGTAGATAATATAATTCAAGAATCTTTTATACTTCCTGTACAAATTTCCAATTTAATATCGCACCAAGAGGTAAACGTGAATAATAGTGATGTTGATCAAGATATCAGTACAGAAGATATGCAAAAATCGCCTGATAAAATACTGATGATTGATGACACGTTAGTAGGAAATACAGATCAACGAGTAATAGATGACATAAAGTTTGATAGTGAAGAGAATACATATCAAAACAAAGCATGTGGAAGCTTAATTCCTTTGTCTGATTCCCCTTGTAATTTGACATCAGACAATAGAGAAAATAATATCGTAAATTCAGATTCATTTTCAATTCTTTCTAATCCCATTATGTATGTACAAAATAATTCCAATACGCATGATAATATAGATGAATCTATTTCGGAATATGAAAGTTTAGTGGATGAAAGTGGTCTTCCAAGCTTAAATCAAAATCAAAAAATTCAAAAAGAATCCTTAAATAAAAATAATTCTACATTCTACAGTGACACTAGTAATACATTGAATAATAATATAATTTCTTTTAATGAAAACTTAGATAAAATAAATAATACCGATAATAATAAATTAACTCAAATAATTATTTCTAGTCATAATGAAATAAATAACAAAGTAATGCCTGACTTAGATATTACCCTTTCAGAAACAAATAATAAAACTAAACTGCAAACAGCGTTTGCAGGAATTATGCTTCCAGATGCTATACCACTTTCTCAGACTAGTTACAATAATACAATCCAGCCTAATACCGAAGAAATTGTAAACTTCAAGGAGAAATTACCAGATCTAATCACTTCTTCTCCAAATTGTAGTAGAGAATCATCGCCATCTTCTTTATCTGAAATTTATAAATCAACAGAAACACTATATGATGAAGCGTTAATATCCGATACGAAAGATAAAATGACTGCAAAAGAAACAGAAATTTATGATTCAGATAGTACACGAAATTATAAAAAATCTACAAATGATGATAAATCGAAATTATTCATAAAGGATTTTAAACGAATTCCAATCGTAACTGTTACTTCACCATCTCCGACAAATGAAAAATCGTTGGAAGAAGCATTTGAAACTGCTAAATTAACAGTACCTAAAGAAATACCGTATAATCAAATGATTCAATCCGATGGAAATAGTTCATTTGATAAATTAAAACGAGATTTAAAACAAAGAAAAGCAAGGAATAAAATTCCAGTAGGTGAACTTCGACCATTATCTACTGAAAATGCTCGAAAAAAAATGAATATATATTTCACAAATGAAAAAAATCCAAAGCCAAAAGATCAAAATATTATATTTCCTCAAAAAGAAAAATCGTCTAAAGTTATCGAATTGGATATTAAGCCAAAATTATCTAATAAAGTTGAAACGAAAGATATAATGAAATATTTTCAAAAAACGAAGCCCGAATTTTCGGAAAAATTAAATTGTAAACTTGAAGATCCAGAAAATAATGTCGATAGATTAAGTGAAATTGATAAAGAATTCGAAGAAATAAAACAACAAAACGAAGAAATATTTTCGATCGATATTGAAGATATTGAATCTAAATTGCATTTAAATATGCTGCCTATGAAATTAAAACTAGAAAATATACATGAACAACCAAATATAGAAGAATGTAAACTTCAAAGAAATTATGTGAATAAAGAAAATATAGATTCAAATAACTTTTCACAAAATGAATTACATGAAAAGAAATCAAATGATATAAATATAGAACAAACTCCATTATCTGTAAAACAAATTAATAACATTTTGAATACTAAATCAGAAAAAGATATAATAATTAATTTCACTCCTAATGAATTACCATTAACGAATGATATTCCAGAAATGAAATTATACCAACAAAAAACAGATAACACTCATTCTATTAGTGATAGTAACACTAATGTGAAAGCGATATTATCAACACCACAACTTGATGTTATTAAAACTAATAAATACATTTTCCATGCAAGTGATGATAGTTTAAATATGAGAAAAAATGTTGCTAATAAAACTGCTCTCGCATTACATAAAAATTCTAAATCTTCTTCCGAATTAACAACTTTACCCGTTGAACGCGAGCAAATCGCCAAAGTTAAAATTGTTGAACAGAATATTGAAGTACCAAAACGTGTAACCAAAACGAATACAAATAATAATTTAATCCTATCGAACAAAATAGATGAAATTCCAAAAAAACCAGAAAGAAAACATGGATCCTCAATAAGTTCCAACATGTCTAATGTACAAAATACTCCTAATGTTCCAGTAAGAAGAAAATTTTTAAAACAAAAGGCTAATGTTCCATCTCCTTTTGAAGGATCTACCAATAACGTGCAATTAAATTCCACTAAAATTAACGAAAGATTGGTTGAATCAAATATTATTAATCAACGCAATAATGTAACAAAAAATAATAACTTAAAATATTCACCTGAAACATCAGACAGCAATAGTGAAATAGACACAACATTTAATACATTAAACAATGTTACTGATGAACGTAAACATTCTCAAGTCACAAAGTCTCTTCCATTAATAAACTCAAATCAGCGTGAATCTACGAAATCTGTATCTTTCAAGAATGATCGAATAAAGAAAGATAAATGTATAGTGTCTTAGCGTATATAACTGTAATCGACAAAACATATACGAGTGCATATATGATGAACAAATTTTTAAATATGATTAATGTATCTTTCCAATATATGTTTTTCAATTTTATGATTTACATTTAGGGAAATTGTGTGAGATATGTTAATAAAGTAAAACAAAAAAAAAAAAAAAAGATATTAATAATATTTGGCTGATGGTATATCTTTTTAAAAATACCCAAAGCCATTGGAAAAAAAGGTAAAGCATTTTTTTGTACGAATGGAGTGAATTCTTGAACTAATTCTAAATTAACAGTGACTCAAATTGATTAATTGTTTGTGTTTGGTTTAGTGTTCATGCTAAAACTGGCGATGCAACTTTTACCAATTTGTATTAATTTTAAAATTACCACCAGCCAATACTTTATTAAGAATCTCACTCTCTCATTTTAGACAAATTTATATGATTACTATCATGATCACAGTATAGAATTGGGCGAATATTGGTAAATAATAACTTAAAAAACATATGGTATATTATCATTTATAAAATTCTATAATATTTCCTACTGAATTCTAGCACATATTAAAAATAGTTAAATGCTTTAATAAACCACAAAACACTCTTCTGACTCTGACCAAATGCATCATGTTCTTCACCACTAATTGTTTCACTAATACACTAAACAAAATTTCTTGTTTTTTTTTTTTTTTTTTTGATAACATTTAATGTTCTTAATAATATCTTCATTCGTTAATCTTTATATGATTTAACAGGTTGCCTCTGATGAAGGTACGTCGGAAGAAAGCGAAGAAAACTCAGCTACAGAAATATCTACAGATTCTGAATTCGAACACGATGGTGCAACTCCTACGCAGCACGAGATTCCAGAAATCACGATCAACGATACATATGTCCGGAAAACAAGAGGAAATTACGTTGAACCTAAGAAAGTTCAAGTAAAAAGTAAAGTCATCTCATCGATTAATGGTAATCTGAAGCAAGATAAAGATGCGAAATCGCAACTGAAAATGGATCACGATATAAATCCTTCTCATCTTGAAAAAGAGAGCAAGCTGAATTTATTAGGATTCAATAATACTAATGCAGTTCCATTAATAAATCCACGTAAAGGAGATTATTTATTAAACCGTACCCATTCTACCGAAGGTATCGCATCTAAGCTATCTTTGGAATTGAAGAAGAAATATTTACTCGGTGGTACAGCTTTTGGAGGTTCCGTTATGAAATCGGGATCAGCCTCGAATGTCGATACTCAATTGAGAAATTTTACAGATGCTATTTCCCAACACCAAAAACTTTTAAATCCCGCTCCAGAGCCGAGTCCTACGATGCAAGCATTCCTGCAAGGGACGAGCAAATTGCGATCGAATAACACCCAACTTTCTCCTATATCGCCCACAGCTATATTTTCTTCCGTGAAACCGTACATAGCGAATCGATCCACCCAGAATTTATTAAACAATGATAATCCTATTTATAAATCGACAATTTTGCCTGAAATATCAAAGACCCAGTTACCGGATCTGGTTAAGGAATCCAGTATATTAAAATCGAAAACTACACCTAATATTGTCTGCGGTGAATCCAAGAGCATAGAAAATAAAGAAATTGTAAAAGAGCAAGTGGTTCCTAGTCATCAATTGCATACAGAGAAAAACTCCAAAATATTGGAAAATGCGAAAAACTCTGAAAATACGGAAAATAATTTTACCGCAAATATAGATGAGAATAACGGTTTCCGACCACGAAGCCCTTTACATGAAACCTCCATCATCGTACCTCAAGTCGATTGGAGTAAAAACACATTGGAGCAAGGAAAAGAGGCGGCTAGCACCGGAGATTCAGAGATAGATAGCGATTCTTTGTCATCCGGGGATGGCGAAGCGGAGGAAGAAGCACAGGATCAACCACCAGCTGTTACGAATTTGTCTCCACCCCGTTTACAAATTCACAGTACAGATGGAGATCTTTTGTTGGACGAAGAGGCTGAAAAATGTAAAGATTTCGATGATGGGCAATCGTTTGAGCCTGATTCCATAGAGTGCTCGTTCCTACAGGATAAAATGTTAAATAATAAGATCAATTCTTCAGTCCCTGGCCCGACCCCTTGCGTAAATAAAACCTCGATGGAACTGGAGCTGGTAAAGAACGAAATCGAGCAATTAGAATTGCAGGATGATGGTAAAAAAAGTATGAGCAATTGCAGTACCCCTACATCGATAACATCTGCTATTTCTAATAAACATGATGATTCTGAGGAAAACGACGTCACAACAGCAGCTCTTACAGAAACGGAATTCTCAGAGTGGGCTCGTGATGGAGAAGTCTTGGTTTCGGATGATCTACGGGACGTTGAATTCAATATTAATCCAGAATTCATAACTACAAGAAGAAAAGCTACATTATCGGATGCTTCGAGGATGGGTCATACTCCAATTACGATAGCCAAAGAAGAAGATTTAACGGACATGGACTTAGATTCTTCGAAGTTGGATAAACAGTTGGATGTTCCTGTTAACAATACCTCAAAACTCTTAGCTAATGGTGAGAATATAGATTTTATGGACACGGATAACGAATCGTTATTGGACGATAGTTTGCAAGATGCTTCTAATATGGTAATGCTCAAAAATAGGGGATACGTAGAATTTGTTAATATTAAAAGCACTTCAAACCTCACAAGTTCACAAGATAAATTAATTGCTGACGCCCCTATTGCGAAATTAGAAATAGAAAATGATTCCTGTTCGGAAGAAGAAGCTTACTACGATAAGAACGTGATAGAAATAAATCCAATTACCATGGATGATGTTATGAATAAATTAAATGGTTCTGTAAATAAATCTGAAAATGACACCAAGTCAGACGGAAATGTGGAAATAAAATCAAATTCCATTGAACAAGATCAATCCATCGCAGAAGCGGTGAATAAAGAATTATTTCAATCGATGGAGGAAGATAGTTTGCTTATCGTTGAACCTGCCGAGGACACCACTACCAGTGAAGTAGTCACTATTCTCGCTAGTCCTGTGAATCCACAAGTTTCAATAATTGCATCTCAAACTGAAAAACAATCGGAACAAGAAGAAGAAACGAAAACGGCGACTGATTTGAACAATCCTGATTATTTGGAATACGTGAAGCGTTTGCAATCTAGAATTGCTGAATTTAGCAATGTCAAAGATTCTATAGACGTGAGAAAATCAAAAAGGAAGAATTCAAAATGTTCGCTGCAATCTCGTACAGCTGAGATGATAGCAGAAGAAATTAAGAATCAAGAAACTACAATAAATAATAATTTCAATTCGCCGGCCACTTCGAGAAAATTGGAAGAAATTACCAGAGAAAGATTCAAACAAAAAAATGTAATACAAGATCTATTAATGGATAAAGTAGAAGCTCATAAACAGAAATCCGCAGAGAAAAAGGCAAGAAGAGCTGCTAGAGCTTCGTCGTTCAATTCAACTTCTGCCTTATCACCGATAAGACCATCTATTCCTAGTAGTTCGCTAGTTAATAAATTTGTACCTACATCTATAGTAACACTTGAAAATAGTCCCTTGCATAGTACTAATTCTGCTGAAAGCAAACAGCCTATGGAAATTAAGAAATCTTACGAAACCCAGCAATTGCCTTGGAAATCAGAGACTGAGAAAGCCATAAATGAAGAAAGTAATAAAAATGATATTCAATCTTCTGAAAATATCACATTAATTAAAATAGCCAGTGAAACAGAAAACAACTTTAGAACGCCAATTGCACCTCCAAGATTGAAACATGAAGAGGCAAAGAGAACAGCAGAAAAGGCAAGACAAGATGCGAGAGAAAGGGCTAGATTAAAGAGTGATGAAGATCTGGGTCTCAGTCCAGAAGATAAAATCAAAGAGTTGAGAATGAAAGTGGCACGAAGGCAACTTTCAATGGAAGAGAGAAAAACTAAAGAAGAAACACAGCCTGAAGATCCTCGCATAAGACTTTATACTTATGGAACAAACAAGACTGAATTAAAATTGCAAACGAGCAAAAGTACGGACAATATGAAAGCTGTAGCTGAGGCAATCAATTTCAGTGGTTTATCTGCTGCCAATGCAAAATCAATGGATGAATTATTACATGCTGATTCTCCCAAATCAAATAGCTCAATAATAAAAAGAGATAAGAAACAAAAAACGAAAGATCCAGAAAGAAGAAAAAGTATCATCCAAGCAGTCTCAGATTTCTTCTTTAAAAAGGAATCTTCTCCTTCGCCGTCCAATCAAAAAGACAAATTATCTATGTTCCGTCTGACGTCAAAGACGAAAGGCAAAGTACGTATATTGTATTTCTTCTTTTCCCGTTAATTTTTACATTTTTTTTTTTTTTCTGTTGTACAGCGTGATATATATTGTTGAGTATCTCTTGACTAATTGGATTCTGAAATGTTTCAGTTATGTAAATCGTATTCGGAAGGGTCAGATGTAAGCAACTCATAAGTCATTGATACTAATTTTTCCAGTATTAGCTTTCTTATGCCACTATTTGTATTCGCTATTGTATATCGTGCAGGTACTATGATTTTATTTTCGTTTGCCGCATTTTCTCGTCTGCTTTGAAGAGGTAACATATTGACTGGCATAAGTTATAAGTTAAATTTTTTTTTTACACTTTACTGTTAAATCCTTATTACTGTAGTAACAATTTGTCTTATAAATAAGCATGTTAAGTTCTATCACACATATAAATTGCCACTTCAGTATGTTCGTTTTTTTTTATTTTTTTTTTTTTTTTTTAGTGTGTAACTTTAATTAATTTGTTTCTAATACATATGTTGCAAAAATGTGAAAATATCGATTAAAATTGGAAATTCTTGAAATAATTTCAAGCAATATTTTCCTTTATAAAAACTTTCGTTATATAGTTTTAACAAAAAGTTATTTATAAAGTATAAGTTATTAACAAAAAATGCTGGCTTCTCCTCTTCCACATTATCTTTATCCCCATCTTCTTTTCCTTTCCTCATTTATCAAATTTTCTCTTCCATCTATCCTTTATCATCTTCTTATACATCTCCTTCTTCAAATATATATTATTTATCATTTATTTATTAAAAAAGTTTTATATTCGATTTTTCATACCACAATTTTGAATTTTTATTTTTTGTTAATAACTCGTACACAAAGCCGTAACGAAAATTTCTGCAAAGGAAAATATTGCTTGAAATTATTTTAAGAATCTTTAGTTAATCGATGTTCTCATATTTTTAAGACATTCTTTATTTTATAATACATATATGTATAGATATTAAAAAAATATTGTTGTAAAGTAAAGTAGATGGATGAGTAGTATATTTGATCTTAATATTCTAATTTCATATTAAATTTCAACAATGTATAAATCAACCGCTAATTTATCAATTAATTTATTAAATTACTAAATAATTATTATTCACTATATTTAGGTAGACTAATATATTTATATATTATGTATATTGTAATTGCATTTTCACATAATTTCAATATAAGCTTAATCAATGTATTTCAATAGTTACAAATTTTATTATAATTTTTCTCTTCAATATTAAAATTAATTATTTAAGATAAATTAATTAATTTAAGAAATAAAATATTTATTTGTATTTATCAAACACTATTGTAAGGAAAACATTACTACAATATATTTTCTTTTTCAGCTTGATAAAGTCTTATCACCGAAAATGAACGCTAGACCAAAAAGTGTTTGCGAAGGTATGCTCACAAGAAACTTTTTAAATGAAAATCCGCCGCCAATTCCACCGCCACCCCTTATTTACACTATTCCTACTACACAAATCTCAGGTATTGATATTATAACAGATACACGAAAATAAAAATTATATATATATATTTTATATAATAATTTATAATAAATTAAATAAATATTTATAATAATTAAATAAATATTTTATATAATAAATTATATAAAAGTTCATATTTTATATTTTATTTTTAACAGATGATAGTTTATCAGATGATGATACAAAAACAACAGCAGTATCGACATCATGCATACATAAAGCCACAATAACAGAAGGTTCATATAATAGTATTTCACGTAAAACAAAAACTACGAAACGAATAGCTAGACAAGCACAATTAAAAAGGTATATAAAAAAAACTAAATTTTATATTGCTATAAAATAATTTAATAATTTATAATTAAAAAAAAAAATTATTATTATATTAATAAATTATTACTATAAAAATATTCCAAAGATTGCGTATGGCTCAAGAAATACAAAGAAAATTAGAAGAAACAGAAGTTAAACAAAGAGAATTGGAAAGCAGAGGTGTTAGCGTTGAAAAAGCTCTTCGTGGAGAAGGTGGTAAGAATCCATAAATTATTATACATTATGATATTATACAATATTATAAAATATATTATATATATTATAAAATATAAAATATTTATACTATAAAAAATATTATTACTATAAAAATTTTTTTCAAATGTTTAAATAAAATGTACTTATAATATTTAGAATGCTCCGATCGAGAAGAAGCAGATTTACTCAGAGAGTGGTTTGACCTTATGAAAGAACGTACAGAATTGCGTCGATATGAAAAAGAGCTTTTAGTACGAGCTCAAGAGGTTCAACTTGAAGATCGCCATGAAAGATTGCAACAAGAATTACGTGAACGCTTAGCTGATGATGGTTAATATTTTATTATAATATTTATAAATATTTAGCAATAGTTATTTAATATTACATAATATTATTAATAATTATTATATAATTTTATTAATGTTCTAAAAAAATAAATATATTTAAATTTTACAGATAATAAAAAGACCAGTGCCGATGTAAAAAAGGAAGGAGAAATTTTAACAGAAATGTTGGAAATAGTCGCAAAACGGGATTCGCTTATTGCACTTTTAGAAGAAGAGCGACAAAGGTGGTGTAAATCTACATGCCAAACATTAACTCCTTTTTCGACACATACAGTTTGTTTTTCGCACGTACCTAATTTCTTTATTCCTCATTTGAACAATACATCTTCTGTGCTCACTTTGATAGTTATTTTAATTACATATGTATTTTTAACTAATTTAATACAATTGTTCATTAATTTTTGTAATGAATCACTAACGTTTTTTAAATCTTGATTTTTTTTTAACTTTTTTAATTAATTCTTATAGATGATGTTAAATTTCATTACTTTCGCGCATTTTTATCTTAAAGTATTAAAAAGCATTTAGCTTTTATAATATTTCTATTTAATTTTAAATATTTTCTTTTATATAACTTTATATATTAAAGTTATGAATAGTACTTATAATGCATTTGTTATATAATTTTTTTTCAACTTAAAATAGTTAATATTTATTTTACTTAAATATATTAAATATATTTAATAATGATTATTATACAGTTTCTTCCATTCACTTTTTGCAATGCATGTCAAGTATAAACATCATATCATAAAAAACTATTTTTACAATATATATATATATATATATATATATATTTTTACAGTTTTTATAATCTGTATTATAATTTAATCGCATGCTATTCATACATAATTTTTTTTTGTTTACTGCTATAAATATTTTTTTTATATTATGATAAAGTGATATATACATGACTGTGTTATTGTAAGAATGGAGACATTTTGATTGTATTTAAAATTATATCTGGTCATGTATAGAATTAAATCGTATTAGCATCATAAAAATTATAGAAATGTAACTATGTTGATATATGTTGTTAACTTTTAAAATATTTTTTGATGGATACTTTGAAAGAAATAAAATATATTATTTTATGTGTTTATGGTAATTATTTCCTAAACACATATCATTTTTTAACATAAATGAATAACATAAGAATTAAGAATCCTATAGAGATAGTTTTTTAAAGATAATTATTTTTAAATGGATTTTTATAAAAGAATGGAAGTATATTGTATATTTCTATAAGAAATTCTTATTAAAAAGAATTGGAGATTAAAAAATAGACTTTCTATTAGAAAATAAGATATATTAACGATCTGATAACGAATAATAAATTTATTTGCACATAAAAATTTTTTAATATATATATGTTAATATGTATATTTATTTTTATATGTATATATATTTTTTTTGTTTTATATCAATCAATATAATTTTTTATTTGCACAAGACAAAAAATATTGTGATTGCATATAAATTCTATTATATTTAATAGTTAATGGAAGCATACTTTTCTTTTAGGTATCAAGACGAAGATCGTGACCTTGAAGCTCAAATGTTGGCCAAAGGCCTCAGATTAACACCAATAAAAAAATGTGGTCCTAAGTATTCAGTTTAATAGGAATCACATTATTGTACATATACTCCATTCTATATATCCATTGATTAATTTTACTAAATAAGTAAATTAAGTATAATGTAAATAAGAAGTAAATCTTATAAGGATCAATTTGATCTTACAAAGATCAAAACTAAAATTTTATGTTATTTTTTTTTATATATTGAAAGAAATTCATTTGAAATGTTGTCTTTCATTGTATATGTGCAAATCTCACATATTTTAAAAAATTACAGATCAATTATTATATTTTAGATTCGATTTTTACAGATTATTATGTAATATAACATTCATTTTGAGCATATATATATTATACGCGTTTTTAAGAAGTTTCATTCATTTGTAGTATACATTTTTTATCTATTGTATATCATATATTTTTAAATTGTCAGAACAAACATGGAATTGTATTATAAATGAATTTCAATTCTTGTTGCTTAACATTAAAGGTAAGATAAAATAAATATTATTGCACATTTGTTGTGCAAATTGTACAGAAAATTGCAATATGACATTAATGGATTTGAAGAAAATTTTATGAATATATATATATATATATATATTTTATCATTGCAAAATATTGATCATAATTATAATAATATTGTCACAAGAAATATTTTGCCTTTACTCAAATATGTAAATTAATCAAAATATAATTATTATACATATATTTGATTATTACAAATATAAAATGTTGTATTTTGTGATTTTAATATAATATTTAAACAAGTGATAATAGTAAATATAATTCTGCATTACAGTAATGTGCATTGCAATATATACACATGTACATTCATATAATTTAAATAAGATGTATAAATCTATTTTTATGTTTACAAAGAGACTGGCAAACGAAATGTATAAATAATTATAAAATTTAAATAAGCCATAAACATGTAAAGTTTTGTATGAAATATAAAATGGACATATATTTACAATTAGAAAATAATATTGAAATCAGCCTTAAATTTCCTTGATACATATTTAAAACATAATATAAATTATGAAATCAATTTTTCAGATATTTAAACAAGAACTTAAAATATAAAAATATCTAATAAATAATATCTAATAAATAATCTTATATTATAAAAAAAGTATAAAGTAATATACTGTAAAGTATTAATTTATAAAAAAATGAAAAATATGATTAAAAAAAAAAATAAAGAAAATTCTAATTATTACTATCATTCATATAAATTAATAAATACAAAAAATTAATAAATTTTTAAGTACTCTAAATTGCTATTTTACTAAATAAAAATATTTTTATTACAAAAAGCTTGAAGGCCAATAATTGTTCTAATTATGGAAATTCCATTTGAAATGATATACAATAATTGTAATAGCAATCATGCTTAGAAATGTTGAATTGTGCAACTTGTATAATTAAACAAAAAAAATTATATAAATAATAATAATAAACTGTGTTAATGTGAAAATATGTGTTTAATTTAATATTTATAAATTATAAATATTTATAAATAATAAAAATCTTTGTAAATTTATAGAATTTATAATTCTATTATATCTAAAACTGGCTTTGTGTAAGAAAACAAATAATAATGTAATTTATTTACTAATAATAAAATTTAAAATACAATTACAGAAACACTATAAAAAAAAAATTATGAAAAAATAATTTAAATAATATATTTAAATTATATTTAAATTATGTAATTATACATATAATTATTTAATTTGTTTATATCATTTTTGTATCAAAAACTCATTATATTTTTTCCATGCTATAACTAACTAAAATATATACACAATAATTCAATATAATCTCTATTGAAAAAAAAAGAAATTAATATGTACAATATTTACAATTAAAAAATCTTATTTTATTATAATAAAATATTAAAAATATGACAATTATTAAAACATTATAAATTATTAGTAAAATATTGAAAATAATAATATTTATTATTTATTATTTCATATTTGATTCTATATACTATTCTATAGGAACTACACGTGCAATTATCGAAATATCGCATCTGTGTGTTCAACTTTATCAGCTCAATTACATTATTTTATAGTTTAAGATGTAATTTTTATTTTGAATATATTAAATTGCAGAGGGCGCAAGAAATATTCTCTTTCGAAGTCGATATTTCAGAACATGTGACATGAAGTTTTGTAAGATGTCAAATCTATTTTATAACTCGTCCGTGGCAAAAATATGCAACCAACCAATAGGAATAAGTACGAAAGTATTCGTTAATCGAGCAGTGGGGAAAGGGAGTGACGAGTGACTACGAATTACAATTAGCGACACAACAAATGAAAGCGTGACGTGAATACGTTGGTTTACCATACCGCGTCGGGATAATGTCGTTCGAGAAGAAAAACGTTATTCGTTTATAAAGCAGGGTACATAAAAGCCCCGTAATTTAATCTCGGCACTGTTTTATCGTACAGTTGCCAGAAAATGGAAGCAGACTATCAACCGACGCTAAATCCAACGCGAACTTTGACAGGTGAGCTTGTCTATCGCGTTTGTTGACGTTGCTTTAGGTGTCAAATAAACGTTACATCAAGTACATATCGCCAAAAATCGTGATTGTAAAAGTTCATCTGGCATCGACGTTTTTCTGTTCGTTTTAGCGAGAAAACATTTCACGATGGATCTCAGTCTCCTATGTGGATAAGCACATCGATAAGTGACGAATAATTCGCGTATTGACACGATAGTGCGTATTACAAAATCCAAGATTTGATCTTAACTTGACATAGTTCCAATCTTTGGTTTAAATATATATACATATCAGTAAAAAATTCGTTCTTTTAAGTTTCATAATAGTGATTTGTAAATACCAATGAAAAATATCAAAATATTTATTGGATATCATATGTACTGTGTAATGTGATCGGGAAAAATAATATATAACGAGAAACCGCGAGATGTATACTAGTCATCAATTTATTATAATACTTGTTTTGCAAACATATTTTTTTTTTGTTATTATTTAGTATCTTTTAAGTATCTATTTATAATGCAAAACCATTGATCAAATAAAGAATTGCTGATGTAGTGTTTTGTGATTCATTGAAACATATTTGATGCAGACAATAATGCGCATACTTCTGTTTGTATAATAGCAATAGCTAATGAAGTCGAAGACCCATACCCAAGTTTGTCAGATTATCATGATTATGAGCCCAACTTGGAGTTTGATGATACTGAGTTACAAACTACTTCAAATAATGGTAAAACATTTAAATATAAAATCTAAATTTTGATAAAATTAAATAAAATTTTTTATAATAATATAACTACATGAAAAATATATATATTATATATTATATATATATTATATATATTATATATATATTATTGTTGAAATATTTTTTAATTTTTAAAAAAAATTTTTTTTGAAGAATTTAAATTAATTAATATATTATTATATTATGATCATGAATTATTATATTTTAAATTTTATTTTATTTTATTTTATTTTACTTTTATTTTATTTTAGAATATAATTGAAATATTTATTTTATAGCACAGCTTTTAGAAGAAAAGTTGGATTTAATTAACAGTGCAGGAAATTATTTGGAGAGTCCAGTAAGCGATGGAACAATTGAAGAAAACTTTGAAGAAGCTTTGGTAGATGCTCCAGTTATCAAATCCGGTGTGTGACCTTTTATCTTCTGTTAGTAGCCACTAAATGTCATGGCATTTGGGGCTTAGCAGGTGAATTATGTAGATCATTGTATGGTTTATTATTGCATGGTATAACAATGCATAAAAGCCAAGGTTAAATGACTCTTTTTTTATTTCATTTACAATTAAATTACTTTGAATATTTATTTTTTAAAAGAGTCAAAGGGAAAATGATAAAAATCTAATATAGAAATAAAAAAATAATTATGAATATAATATGCTAATACATGCTAAGTAGCAGAGGATCTTGCTGCATTAGATGGTGAACTTGCGGATGAAGAAGATTATCTTGATATATCAAGATATGGCATTGTAGAAGTGGTTGGTGATGATAATGCTGGTCGTAAAGTAATAGTAGTATCTGCATGTAAATTACCTCCTGTTGGAAAAGAAACTTTTAATTATGCAAAACTTCTCAGGTTTGTATAAAATACATATTTATTATAATAAACATATTAATTTTTTAAAAATTTATTTAATTGTTTTTATAATAATATATTTATTTGATAGGTATCTCACACATACTTTAGATACATTTGTAGAACAAGACTATAGTCTAGTTTATTTTCATTATGGTCTTACTTCAAAAAATAAACCACCATTGTCTTGGTTATGGCAAGCATATAAAGCTTTTGACAGAAAATATAAAAAAAATTTGAAAGCATTATATTTGGTGCATCCAACTAATTTTATTAGAATTGTATGGCAAATATTTAAGCCAGCTATTAGGTAATTTTTTCTTTTTATTACCAATTTATGAATTTTTTTTCAATTAACATTAACTAAAACTGATATTATTTTTATTTTTTTTAGTGCAAAATTTGGTCGGAAAATGATGTATGTCAATTACTTAGAAGAATTAGCACAATACATTAATCTTGATCAACTTATTATACCTCCTCAAGTAATAGAGTATGTATTTCTTTTTAATTATAAGTGTTTTGATTTTATCTTAATATTAATTGCTTATATTAATTTTTAGACACAATGAACAGCTAATGTTAAAGAATAAAAAGAATTTACCAACAAGTCCACCTCAGAGTACGGTAACAACACCAGTTGGTACCACTCAATTTGGAGCAAGTCTCACTTTTATTAAAGAAAATAACAATGGCGATCCTATACCACCAATAGTGCGACAATGCATTGAATTTCTTGATATGCCTGATGGTATATTTATGAATATATAATTTAATCTTTATGTATAGGATATCCCAAGTATTTTTCTGTTAAATTATTAACATAGTTTAAGAAAAAATAAGAAAAATATGTTACATAAACATAAGTTCTTTTTATTTAAAAGTTACAATAAAATTATAATCTTCTTGATTTTATTTTTCCTTCAATATAGCATAAGAATAAGTGAATAATATTTATTCAATCTGTTTACACAATTTATATTACTGTATTATTAGAATTAAATTAGAAATGATAGTAAACATAACTTGTGTAATCAAATTAAATGAAATATTGTTAATTCTCATGCTATATTAAAAGAAGAATAAATAACTTACATTTTTATTTAAATAAAATATTTCAGAATTTATATTTATATAACATTGTTTTTTTTTTATTTTTACTTATAAAACACGCTGTCATAATTTGACAGAAAAATTTTCGGAAATATTTGCTATCTTATTTAAAAAATAATATAATAATATTATTTTACTATGTTATTCTGTATTTATAGCATTAGAAACAGAAGGGATATTTAGAAGATCAGCTAATGTAGCAGTAGTTAAAGAACTTCAAAATCGTTGTAACCAAGGATTACCAATTGATTTTCAAGGAGACCCACATATAGCAGCTGTTCTTCTTAAAACGTTTCTTCGAGAATTAGATGAACCACTTATGACATATGATTTATATGATGAAATAACACAATTTCAAGGTAAACATTTAGATTTTTTTTTTTTTTTACTTATATTTTATATTCTATAAATATGTTGAAATTTTTTTATTATTTATTTTATTTTAGCTCTATCGAAAGATGAACGTCCAAGAAGAGTTAAAATATTGGTACTTGAAAAACTTCCAGAAGATAATTATCAGGTTTTAAAATATATCGTACAATTTTTATCAAGGGTAAACTATTATTTTATGAATTATATTATTTATTCTTATTTTATAATTTTATAATAAAATATATAAATTTATATAACAGGTAATGGACAGATGTGATTTAAACAAAATGACATCAAGTAATCTCGCTGTTGTATTTGGTCCAAATCTTGTCAGAGCACCACCATCACGTGGAATGTCACTTTCCGCAATAGGTCCCATTAATCAATTTATAGACTTTTTATTTACCCATCAGGATAAAATATTTATTATATAAAGAAAATATAGGATTGAACGCTAAAGGCCTAATTTAAAACGAAATTAATACTTTATCTATGTTATAGAACAGAAATTTTATAAATTTGGCTGCCAAGTTTGATATTGTATGAATTTACATAAATAACTTCGAAGAAAATTTTATAGAATTTTTATTGAAAATTATATCAAGTTCCTAAGAATTTCATTTTAAAATGTAAAAACAACAATCTTCGAAGTCATATCAAACTTGTTGGAACTTGAACGTAACAACTCGTGTATAATATTCATATTTAATTATAACATTCGTACTTTATTGATTAAAATATTTTTATATTTAAATATACAGATAGAAAAATACTTGCATACCTAATGTCACAAACAGCGTTTAATTATACAACTTGCACAAAATTTTTTTTTTAGTAAATTAATATAATAATTTCATGGGACATAAAAATATTGTAAATCAATCTGGATATACAATTCAAAAATATGTAAAGTTACATAAAAATTAATGGTATACCAAAGATATATGAAAATATCATGCAATTTATAAAATATAGGATTTAAAATTAGCATAATGTAGTAAAACTAGATGGGTAAATTATGTTGTACAGGATGCCTTGCTCGCATAATTTTATTAACTTATATAAACATTAACATGACAAATGTCATAAAAGTCATAATAATTATATTGTTATAATTTATGATATTAGCCAAAGCAAAAATATAGTAATGAATTTAGAAACTATTATTAATATATGGCATCCTAGAATAATTAACATTATGTGTATATATATATATATATATATATACAAAGATTAATAGCATTATATACAAGTTTAATTTGATTAAACAAAATTGTTTTTTTAATTATACATACATAAATACAAAGAATTTTGATGCATTGTTAAAATCATATTACAAAAAACTAACAATAAAATTTCTTATTTTTAAGTATAAATTAAGTTATTAATATAATTAGTATATTTATATGATACTTGATTTGTAACTTCCATACAATGAAAATTTATAAATAGCATATTCAAAAAGAAAAAAATAATTCGTATGATTATTTGCCGATTTAAAATAATAATAACAAATAATGAAATTCATTATTCTTTATTATAATTTAACAATTAAATTAAAATCATTGTCAGGGTATCATGTAATGTAATATTTAGTATACTATTTGTTATCACTTGAAAGATGAAAGACTTATAATAATCTCTCTATTATAATATGTGTATCTTTGTACATTTTCTTAAATAGTCCTGCCATTATGGGTTTCTGGGATAAAATAGAGGCTCATTGCCTAATATGTTCTCTGTTATGGAAAAAGACTAACCCAGACCTATATAGAACTGATACAAATACATTCCTTGTTAATAGAATAAAAATATTACATAAATATATAATTATTTATATAAAAAAAAATATTAAAATAATATGTCATTATATATATATATATAAATATTACACAATGTATAATTTTCTAATTATTTTAATGTTCTAAATTTATCTTATTTATAAATAATCACTTCGTATATTTACATTTAATTTAAAAATACATATAAAAGAATTTATCATTTAATGAAATAATGTTTATGTTGCTAGTATAGATGAATTTATGGATATTTAATCCATGTATGTACCTGTGATAGAATAGAATATTGTATTTTAGGCTCACAAATATTGTGCATGTAATTAGTAAGTTCTTTATTTTATTTAACTATTATTAACTAATTAAATCTAATCTGAAATTCGAATCAACATTTTCAAGAAATAACATCGTATTAAATACGTATATATATTAATTAACCTTTTTATTAAAACATAATAGTATTTAAATATATATACATTTATATGAAATACATATATCTAATAATTGTGATGTCTTCTAGCATATATGACATATATGAGTAACAAGATATTTGGTTTATGAGTCAACTGAGATTCTATCAATGTAATTGAATATTGAAATACATAAAAATTAACTCCCAAAATATAATCAGTATTTCTTACCTTACACTCAGTTAAATTATTTAGGCTACGCAATTTTTTTCTTACATTATATTTTATTCCTTAAAAAATAAAATATTAAAAATTATGATATATGTTGTTTAATATGTATATGTATATGTATATATATATATATGTATATATATATATATATATATATACATACATATATACACACATACATATATATATACACATATTTCTATATATGGCTTGTTCAAAATTAAAACCAATTTTAATAGATATCTCAAGTTAAGATGTATGTGAAGAACCACCACAACAGGAACTCTTAATTGGTTCAGTTTCTTCACCTTCATCTTCAACCACAACAACATTACGACGTATACTACTTGTTCTTGATAATGTAGATTTTTGTTCCATTAGATCTGCATGTTCTATCATTCGTACTGTTAATTGAAAGAACATTTCTTCAATATTTTCATTTAATTTAGCAGAAATATGAAAATGCATAGCTCCTGCTTTGTTAGCAAATCTAATAAAAAAATTTTATATTAAAACAAATTTTATAATATAAGGATAATCAAAAATCAAAAAACTTACTCTTCTGCTTCTTCGATATAAACACGTCTATCCTTTTCAAGATCTATTTTATTTCCAGCTATTGCTAAACAAATTCCACTGCCTAGCATTTTCCTAAGTTCTGTAACCCAATTTATTACCTGTGAAATGAACGTTAATATAGGATATAAAAAAATAGAATAAAATATTTCTTTAAATTTTTACCCTTAAGAATGTATCATAATCAGTAACATCGTAAACTATAATGGCACCATTTGACATTCTGTAATAAATTGGTCCCAATGCATGAAATTTTTCTTGACCAGCAGTATCCCATATTGCCAAATTTACTTTCTTTTCATGTATAGTCAATTTTTTATTTAAAAAAGAAGCCTGAAAATATAAAAACATTTCAGTGCTTATCACAATTGACAATCTACCAACCATAAAAACATTACAATCATAATTATATATAAACAACAAATAAATAAATTTAAGATATAAATGAAACATAAAATAATACATTAAAAATTTAGGTACCTGCAATGTGCTGATATGCCTATCGTTAAATTTGTTTTCAACATATCGTAATGCAACAGAAGTTTTTCCAACACATCCTTCGCCGAGCAACACAACTTTGAAATTATAGACATTATTGGTGCTACTAATTGAACTAGCCATAATTTGTATATAACTAATATATATACTTAGAATACAATATGACAGTTAGAAATGCGTACAATAATCGTTGATAGAACAATTTATAGAATATATTGACGACTGACGATCATAACGATGTGATATTCACGGGTGGGGCCCCTCATGCGGCTTTGTCCCCCTCTACGTTAGTATTTTACAGCAGTGGGGCATATTACGTATCTCCTTCTATACATTCCGCAGTTACATATTTTTTCACTTCATAAATCTATGTAATGTAAGTTATATTTGCTTGAGTAAAACATTTTTTTTTTAATTATGAACAACTATAATCGTTACTTAATCTTTTTATCTATTAAGAAAATAGTAAACTATATTTTAACTTCTCCATATTAGGTGCACGAAACTCGCGCGAGATCCACACTGGACTCGCATGAATAGTGTCTTGGTTTCCTTGACGACAATAGCAAAGTGGGGGTAATGTATCTTATTCACAAATAAAGTTTAGATAACACTGATTTAGAATTACCATGAATACATACATTTAAATTTTCATTTCTATTTAATGTCAAAATAAGAAAAATCAACTACTTTTTATTTTATCATTTATCAAGAAAGAAATAGAAGTATCTATTTTTACTTTAAATATATAACCGATAGATGGCAAATTATGATTATTTATCAAGTGTTCATGTCTCGAAGTTCAAAAGATGTTACTGGATTTTAATGAAAATGATAAATTATGATGAATCAAAAAGTTATAATTCATGTTCAATAATTTCAATGTTATATGAAAAAGATAAAATTTTATATAATAGTTGTGAATAAAATTTATTTTTGACTTATTAAATTAAAAAAAATTATATCTACGTATAATTTATTTTTCATTGTATTTATTATTCACGAAGATGGCGCTATTTTCACTGTTACTAAGGTACCGCAATTTTATTCAAATTACTCTGACAAAACACATTTTTCTATATATATTAGGGAATTCATTGTTTATATATAAACTTATATAGAAAAATTTAACTAAGATAATCAAATTCAATTCTGTTTGTATCTTAAAAAAGTAGAATTTGTACTGTTCTAGAACTCTGGTGGTATTTTATCGAACTGACGTCCAACAAAAATCAAATCTTTTCACCGGAAATCAAACTTATACAAGTAAGAACAAATTTATAATTTAAGTTTCTTATATTAGTAAAACATTTTGAACTGAATACATAATAAATTTTTTTATAAAAATTATATTTATCAAAAATGAAAAATAAGTAATAACAACATGAAAATTATAATTTCTTATTTAGTACATATAAATGCTCGCTTGATTAGAGTATGCAACGGAGCCAGCGCCGTGAGTCTGCGCAAAGAAGTTCTCAAATCTGGCCGTCACCTGTATTGAAAAGGTAAGTACTCTGCTGTCATTAATCTTAACATCTTAATATGAATTTCGCGATCACGTGTCATAAAAATACGATGTATTGATAACATGAGACAATGTCAGCAGCTTTGTAGATTGTCACTCGAAATTACTCACGTGATTAAGATAAATATGTTCCGAGATGTCAGCGTCTTCGGCTCTGAACTCAGAATCTGCCAGGCTGCTGTATCATCATCGATACATTTGACACTTATTTTTCATTCCTGCCTTTTCATTGACTATTCTCTTAATCCGTTCTTATTATACATTATTATAGTCGTTCAAATTTTAGTAGTTTATGTCAAGTGCAACGAAAAACTTTCACCAGATCGTAGGTACCGCGTATCTTCACGGAATTTTCATTGTCGGCATTCATCATTGTATTGACAGGACACCGAATAACCTATAGACAAGATATTCATAAAGTATCGTAAAAATCTGTCAGTTGTTATATAGTATTCATCTTTCAGACCAACGATGATTCCCGCGTTTTACCTGCGCGTTCCACTTGGCAAGTAGACTTGTTTGTTTGTGCGTGCCGTATCATCTGTCATGGCGTGCCCGCTTGTGGCGGGTATCATATCACTGACTTTTTTGATTATTATTCGTACATGTCAGTTAATATTGTTATATATGTTGTTTGAAAGAAATTGGATAAATAATTTTCAAAAAATTGATTCAAGGGAATATCATATTTATTTAATATTTCGAATATATATTCTATGTATTCATGGAGATAGGGTTGGTTAAAATAGTGGGAAGGGAAGGAATTGACGATGGCGGCGAACTGTACTGTGCCATGCGCCATGTCGGTCTTTTGCTTGCGCACGTCCTTCGTTTGGTGCATTACGTTTGTCTAGATTTCTTTTTTTTGTCTTTATGAAAATAATACATGATCTATCAAACTAATTTCAATAGAAATCCTATATTATTTGAAAAGATAATTAATATTATATAAACTTTGAAAATTGATATAATTTTTTTATTTTCAACCGAATAAAAAAAAATTCAATATATTTTTAGATAAAAATACGATGTTCAATGTTTAAAATTGCTACACCAATGCATGCTTAATTTTTTTCTTTATTTATGAAAATTTTAATTCAATTTTCTTAATTTTTGTAATAATTTTTAGTATTTTTATGAATTCAATTTTCTTAATTTTTGTAATAATAATTTTTAATTTTATTTTTCAATTTTTATTTCTTATAATATTGATAAAAAATACTTTTAATGTTGAAAATGAATGTTGGAAATATATTTAATAACAATATCAAATTAGAGATGTTTTGTTTTGATGATGATAATAATTATTTATGTTAATATGTTTATGTTAATATAATAAGAGAGTTATATTAAAATAATTTTCATTATTATATTTTAATTATAATTATTTTCTCATCATTAAGAATAAATACAACATTTTTATTTATATTTTAATAATTTTTAATAAATTAAAAATATTTATTTAAAAATATTAATCTATTAGATCCATTAGATAAATAAGATTAAAATATTCATTATATAAAACATTTTGTTTTATTATGATTAAAAAAAATATTAATATTACCTAGTGATTTAATATTTAATAATGTATTCAAAATGTTTAAATTTATATTTCTCAAATTGAATAAAAAAGATAGTAACGATTTTAAGAATATTAGAAGCTATATATCACAAAGATAGAGAAATGTCTCCATGTTTTTATTCTGACCAAAATACCGGAACCTGTTTTATCATAATGTAGGTCATCTCGATCAAATACTTACGACATCATTAAACATCGCCTCAACGAAATCGAAGTTTCTCAGGCTAATATATTTTTATTATTAATTACAATTTTATTCATTGTTTTCTCAATACGCACAGAAAAAATGTGTTTGCATTTACTTCTACAAAAACGCATACAATTTGGTGACATGTATTTGTATCAAAGGATGGTACCTTCTATTTTTAAAACTGTAGAAGCAACTAAAATTGAGAACGAAAGTTGAACTACTGAGAGTTTAGCATGTCAGGGCCATATTATTCAAACATTATGCATTTTTTATCTTCGTTATATTTATCCTTTCAATAATATGTAAAATAAAATTATTTATAATTATGAATATTATTTATAATGAAAAATAATTCATTTCAAATGAATTATTGATATTATTGATATATGTATTTTAATTTATTTTTACATTCAATCAATAATAGATTATAATATATAAAAAATACAAAAATATATATGATATGTTTTTCTGAATCTTGTTTTGCTTTAGAAATAGAAGAAATAATTTTATATAATTTTATGATAATTTTTTGATCATAATTACAAATCAAAAATATATAATATTATATGATAAAATTAAATAGATAAATTACAGATCGCAAATTTATTATCAATTGTTATTAGTTTTTGTGTTTTGATCTTGACACTCAATTTATAAACAAATACGTAAAATATAGGTAATGTTTAATATGCATGCAGTCATGTCAGAGATTTGGAGTCGTATCGGGATGAAAAGACAACCGATCAACAAACCACGTGGCAACATCGCTATACCCTCCTCTTTTTTCCCCCTTCCTATTGCTTGATGTCCCTTATATCGTCTCCCACTATAATCATTGACTACAACGAGGCGAAAGCACATTTACATTTTTTTGCGTACTGTACGTTGCAACATTTTTACTTTGAGATTTTAACTACTGATGGCGCCACTCCCAGAATAAGTAAAAAATATATTGTTTATTGAAACTGAGATATTAGTACTTTTAAATATATGTATCACAGGAAACCTATCGCATTTTATATTTTTATTGTAAAATGAATTTGCAGATATCAAATTTTTCATTATGTTAATCAAAATTATTAAGATTTTATTTTTACGAATTTTTTTTTATATTAAAATGAATTTATATATGTGATAAATTTATATTTAATAATTGTAGAGACAATCTTCTAAATTATAATATCGTAGAATATAATAAATGTGAGATGCAAGAGTATATTACTAATATCAAATCAAATCATTAAAACTTTATTATATTCCTGAATAAAATCATCCTTGAAAAAAACAAGGACAGATAGGTAACATACACAACAAATTTGGTATATTGCACGAAAACTGGTTTGCCTCCATGCATTTATTATAATGCATGTCAAACGAATGTCATTATATATTTCTAAATGTTTAATGAAGGTGCCAAAATATATAAAATATATTCTTTAAATTGTAAATTTTAATATTGGATGCTTGTAATATATCAAGTGTTACTATTTTTAAAATTTAAATTAGAAATGATATAAAATAAAATATAAATAAGTAATTAAAAACTAAATAGTTGATAGAATATCTTTTCTTTAAATTTAGTAATAAATATAACGGAGACATTGTTTATAAACACGATAGATATATATCATTCGGTAAATGTCATATCATATGCATATAGGCAATAGATTTTTAAACTTAATTTTTTTTAAATTAAACTAATGAATGAAAAAATTTTATTTTGCTTTATTTTTGCTTTATTTTTGCTTTATTTTTTTTTATAAAGAATCATCTAATATCTGCTTGTATATACTATTTAATTGCATTTTGTATATTTTATTAAAATATATATTATAATTTTATATTTTCTTTTCTTCTTTCAAAATTATATCGATTTTGAAAGAATAATTTCAAAATTATATGTTTAGTTATATATCTTTTTATTGATAATTAAAAATATATAAAGTTATAATATTTGTAATAACTAATATAAATTATATTAGTTAAAATTAAAACACAAGATTTTTTATTATATTATATAATTATAATAATACATAAAAATATATTTTATTAAAATAATAAATATAAAAAATCTCTTCACATTAATTTGTTTAATTTGTATAATTTGTAATGATAAAAATTACTAATAATTTGTAGGAAGATTACATATTTATATTCTACTACAATAACTTTTACACAAATGTAACTGTGATGTATAATGATAAATGGCAGGTGATTTTAGTGTTTCTATATAGAAAA